GAGTCCCCGGTAGAATAAACAGCTACATGTATAGGAATAGCGAAAGACGCTGTCACTGTTGACCGTCAATATAAGATAGCCAATTTAGTTGAATGATGGTAAGAATACTGTCCATAACTTACTAATAAATCTTCAGAAGGTCCCATGTTTGTGCTAGATTGCTTCCTCGACTGTTTACGGAGGAATAAAGGGAAACTCAAGTATGTGCATCAATGTCATTTCTAATTTTAATTGGGACTTATCCAACTTTCTTTTAGGAAATAGGAAATGTGAAGCTGCTTTAGACACTTTGACGTTATCATCCGTGCGCCCGAAGGCGATACAACACATAATAAAAAATCTTATAATTTGTTTATTTATGCACCTATCTATTTGAAATTTGCCATGTATATTTATAAAAAAAATGTAGTAAAGAGTAGTGAAAATTTTAGAACGCAGTGATGATTATTTTTTGCTCTAGACAACTTGTCCACGATTTTACCGGACAACTCTCGTACTGTTCGATATCTCCATATTTCATTGAGAAAGGCCCTGATGAACTAAAGTAGCGTGTTAATTCTGCTCATTTTTTCAACGAACATCTTCATTAATTCGAAATGCATACATTGTGCAGCTTAAGGATACGTCATAATGTACGACACAGAATGACTGAAAAAGTTCAAAAACAAAAAAACCAAATTATGTAAGACAAGACTTGCATTTCATGAACATGTAAACATTAGTTATATACCTGAAATTTATGGAAGGAATTCCCTATTATAGTCACTCAAAGCAACGACATGCACCTGGGTACCTACTGGTGAAGTGTACCTAAATGAAAACTTCTATTCACTTAGTTTATGTTATTCAGATGTTAATTAATTTTACCTTTGGGCCCTGGAATGCTTTTATCTCGCACCTGCGGTTTTGCAGGTGTCGGACGACTCTATAAAAATTAACGCTTCATTATCGAAAGTGTAGTTTTAATTTATTAATTAAGACAAATCGATTTATTTTGTGCAAATTTACACAAAAATAAGTATGAGAAAATGAACTGAACAAGACTAAGAGGTCCCGACGAGTTCAAAGACGTTTAAAGAGCGATAACTCTAAATTCAGATTTGGTCTGTAAGAAATATCAATGGGACATAAACAACTTTCACCCACACACACACTTGTTAATAAATAAAAAATGTAAAAATAATTACGAGCTTGAGTTTACTATGAGAATCTATTAATCAAAGGCAAAATAAGTAATATTAATTTCAAAATAACGAATAACTTTGATAAACGTTAAATAAATGATAATGACTTAAAAATAGATATAATAAAACTATATGACAAGTATAAAGCTCAGTGCTAGCTTGTGTTGCTATCTGTTAAATAATTAAAACAGTATTTTAATCACAAAAGTGAATGAGACTAGGTAGAAGGCACAGCTTTATTTTAGATCTCTCCCTATCTCGCATATATTTGTATCATACATGTTACTCCATGTTGCAGACTGTTTAAACCTTAAATCAGAATATGATCCGCTAAATTAATTAAAATGTACATCAAAATTCATTATTTAAACTGCAGTATATCTCTATTATTCATTTGACTTTAACAGTTTACTTTTAAGGATGTCCTGTTACAAGAGAATTTGGTTCGTTTCTTTTAAGGTTCATTGACCTTATGATAAGAAGGATAACTCTTCATAACGTAAATTGCTGTTTTTTCTTCATAAAATTGACAAGTAAAATGGTCATTTCTGCAAATTTTAATATGAGTGAATAATATATGATGGCGAATCTTAACACAAAGTCACAGTAAATAGTTTAAGGCTTACAGTAAGATCCAAAAGAATAAGTTCATATATATTAAATAATGTCAAAATCCAAAATAGTTGCACATCAAAGAAAAAAGTCTTTCACCTGTGGACAGGTATTGTGACATGTTGGACCTGGCTGGTGTTTGTGCTTTAATTGACAATTTTTAAATGAACACCTACGAGGAATAAAGCTATGAATCAATAGTGGAGATACTAGTAGTCTCATTCAGGGCCTAGCTGGGAGTTGGACATATCAATCTACACCCAAATATGACAACTTGCCCATATTTTTGATGAGCCCCTCGAATTTCTAAAAATATTTCAAAATGAGTAAATGGACTACCCTGGAATTTTTTTTTATGATTTATTGTATTTTTCATTGTTTTACAAAAAAAACGAGAGAGAGAGAGAGAGAGAGAGAGAGAGAGAGAGAGAGAGAGAGAGAGAGAGAGAGAGAGAGAGAGAGAGAGAGAGAGAACTGATTCAATTAAATAAATTCTTCCATGACTCCCAGGCCTCATCAAATTTTTCTTGTTCATTATTTTTCTTTGATATTACTTTATTAGTGTCATATAGTACTTTACCCTGGAAAATTGGTTACCCCTGCAATTTCTGGCAATATTTTGAGGAAAAAACCGTGCGAGTTTTAATTACAATTACTCATGCATGAAGACATCTCATTACATGTATGAACTCTCAAGAGCTTTTGCCTAACTATATATTATACTGAAATCAGACAAAACATGTAGGAGGAGTAGCATTTTGAAAGTATTTCAAAAACTTTCTATTTTAGTAACCATGGCAACACCCTTCATCGAAATCAAAAAAACGGATACACAGAATTATGTATCTTTGTGAAGTCTGCTTGTGTGCCAAGTTACATGAAATGAGATCAAAACTGTAGGAGGAGTAGCATTTTGAAAGTTTTTCACAGACATTTCTATTTTTAGTAACCATGGCAACACCGTTCATCGAAATCAGAAACGGATACAAAGAATTATGTATCTTAGTGTAGTCTACTTGTGTGCCAAGTTATATTGAAAAGAGATCAAAACTGTAGGAGGAGTAGCGTTTTGAATGTATTTCACAGAAATTTCTATTTTTAGGAACCATGGCAACACCGTTCATTGAAATCAAAAACCAATACACAGAATGATGTATCTTAGTATAGTCTACTTGTGTGCCAAGTTATAATGAAATCAGATCAAAACTGTAGGAAGAGTAGCGATTTGAGTTTTTTTTTTACAGACATTTCTATTTTTAGGAACCATGGCAACATGCACCTTTCATTGAAATCAAAAACCGATACACAGAATTATGTATCTTAGTATAGTCTACTTGTGTGCCAAGTTATATTGAAATCAGACCAAAACTGTAGGAGGAGTGGCGTTTTGAAAAATTGTTTACAGACGGACGGACCTATATACTAACAGTATACAGGTCCCTGATTCTGGCAGATTCAATTAATTATTACAGCCTAACACTAAAACTCTAGTTAGTTATATTTTCATCATGTAATGTATGCATGTTTAAAACAAACATGTTTGTATATGAATATTTTTTTTCTAAATATCGACTTTGACAGTTGTAGCCATTTATGGTGAGAACCTCGTAAGTTGTTCGAACTTGTGTTCAAACCATTTGTATATTATTCATAAAATAGAATATGTTCAAACCAACCGGGCGCACACTTTTTGCCCAGTTATGAAGTTGGTGATTATCGATGATGGTCTTTGAGCTTACACCAGAAGCAGCCTCCCAATTAAAAATCAAATAATATGCAGCGATTGTCTATCATATCGCCTAGTATCCATCAGTGCAATGGTGTCCATATCCAGTCCATCCAACTTCCGGTTCCCCAGTTTTGTGGAACAATCTTGAAATTGTGATGTGGTGCTTACTTAATGGCTTGGCTATCTATAGTTAGCATTTTTATGTTTGTTAATCTATTTGCTACAATTTTTTCACCAGAAGAATAAATAATTTTTCCATTGTTTTAATTTTTTTTTTTCACAAATTCTTCCAAAGGAACCGCCTGCAGACACCATACTGACTTTTTAGCACGCTCTTCTAAGATCAAATGCCGCATACGGTGTCATTTTTTAAACATTTTTTTTTAATTATTACAAAAATAAAGTACATAAATACAAAGAAAACAGTAGAAATTTGTTCCTCTAAAAAAGTATGGACACAATTTTTTATTTTTTCTATGAAATTATCACGCATCAGTTAACATTGTAGTTATTTATCAGTTAAGACGTTTAAATGCATAATTTTTGCTTAAGTAACATAATTATATATCAAAAACTTCATAAACAAGTTTTGAAAAGTAAAATATTTATTTCATTTGGTGGTGCGTTAGCAATTTTTTCCTAGTGTATTTATTCTTTAAGTATTTTTTCTGTGAATTCAACCAGATTCTGTTGTTTCTCTCTCTCTCTCATACATATTGTACAAATCCATTAGATTTCCTCTGTATACAAGTAATTAGAATGTCATTCATTGTATGAATCGACATGCTATCTAATTTAACAGGTATATTTATTTCAAATACATGTATCATTTCTTAAGCAGCTTAACACCGTGTTTTGTGATAATCTAAAAAGGGTCTGTCATCTTAATGATAAATAATAAGGAAACGGATTAGTATAAGTTTTTAAAACTTGTTTCGGAAACCTTTTTGATTTTCTGTACTACTTGCCTGTATTTTCTGCTTGTCATTTTCAAATAAAAATACTAGTATGGTTAAAACTAACCGCAACATTTCTCTGTACATTACATACCTACCTGATTTTATTACGAAAATAAAATAAACGAACACCATTGAAAGTGATAAATTAGTTTATTTTTTTTTATCAATGCTTAGAAGAATCCCTCAAAAACTCCATGGTAATATTTTTTTTTTCAATTTAAGACCAAAAAAAAAAAAAAAAAAAAAAAATCAGTAAAATTTCAAAGTAGATGCATAAAAATGAAATTTTATGAACAAAATGAATGGTTCTACGAAGAAACCGATTTAAAAAAAAAAAAAGGAAAGGATGATGATGAAAATGGCAATGGTGGTGATGATATGTAGCTGAACTACCTCATATAAAGTCAAGTCTACGAAACTTATACATCTAAAGAAACACGGTTCTTTGGAATGTTAGTTGATGTCCTGAAACTTCGGGGGAAAAAAAGAAAGAAAAAAAGAGTCTTTCGGGTCATATTAATTAAACAGCTTTTTCAGCTTCATTCCAAATCTCTCGAACAAGTTTGGTCTCCTACAATGGAACTTAACTTCCTGCTCCTCCATTTCCGTCTCGAGATCATTTTCTCCTTTTGCCAAGAATTCTACATATAAGTCTGTGGCTTTAAGCTGACGTTGAAATCGTTTTATCTGTAATAAGAAAATTGACTGGTTGTATAAATAATTGTAGAGAATTTTTGTGAGGTTAAAGGATCAACGACAAACACAAATTAAATTTAAGATGCACCGCCTCCGATTAAATTGGGTGGTGAAGTGCCCCAGATATAATACTTACATTGAATATCGTTTCTTCCCCGTCCTCCAGAATTCTAAGATAGTTTTTAGCTTCTTTTTCATTTCCTGAAGAAAAAAAAGATCCGATTAGTATCAATGAAATAGCTGAACTCTGAAGAGGTTTGGAAATATAAATACGCCTAATGGAGATAAATAAAAAAACCTACCAGATTCTACGAGTATTAAATCAAAAAAGAAATATTTTGTTTTTGTTTGTTTGTTTGTTAATTGTTTAACGTCCCTCTCGAGAATCTTTCACTCATATGGAGACGCCACTACTTGCCGGTGGAGAGCTGCAGATTTTGACCTATACTCGGTACTCAGGGACATTGAGCAGTGAGGGATCTTTTTTCGTGCCAGCACCTACTGCGACACTGGACCTCGGTTTATACGGTCTCCACGTCCCACAGTGGGATTCGAACCCGCGACGTAAGGATCAACTCCTTACTCCAAGAGATAGAGCGAACGCTCTAACCACTGCGCCGCGCGGGCGACGAATATTTTGTTTTAATGACCAACATTACCACCGCTGACCAGATCCTGTAAATGTTGGGACCACATTCTATTATGTGTTGTTATGTCTTTGTCTGTAATAATGTTTTTCTTTAATGCTTCCAAGAATAAGTACGAAAATATAATAAATCTCTTCTGTTGCACTGGTAATAAAAAAAGAGAGAGAGATTTGCATGTTTTACATGTATGTACATTGTTAACGGTATTGTAATCTTATTAGTATTTTTTGCAAATCGAAAAATCTTTGGTATTATAGACAAACATTTCATTGTCTTACCAGCAATGTCTTTCTTGTCGGAATACAAAAATTCATGTTTGTCCGAAGTTTCGTTTTCAAAGAGAAAGATGACGATTTGTAGAATGTTTCGTCTCTAGAAAATAAATGAAAAAGAAAATATAGAATGACATTCCTGATTATCTTTTATAAATTTCTAAGCCATTGCATGTTGTAAAATAGTTCTTCGATGTGATTTATTAATTTCCTTATAAAAAGAAATAACCAGGAGTTCCTGTTGAAGCTTACCACTGGAGTCATTGCTCGGGTCTTCGTTTTTGACAAATAGTCTAACAGACTTGACTTTAGACACTGATCAATTGATTTGTTTCCGAATCTCTCCATCGTTTCAAGAGTAAAGCTGTTGTATAGTCTCAGATTATCCCAAATGTTTTCTGGACAACAGAAATGCTTTGTGACGTTAGTCTCTTATGATGTGTTTTTATTATGACGTCATCGTATTGACTCCCTCTAACCCGATGTTACGAATAAAAAAATCTTCACTTCATCAAGACTTATTTAATATTTTTGTTTGGGACAAGTATTCTACATAGATTATGTAATTCTCTTAAAAAGATTTGATCTGTTAGGCACTCCATCCTAACCAAAGTTGGGATGATGGGAAAAGTTGAATTAACATATGAAGATTCTTGCACATTATTATATAATAATATATGACTTTAGTTATGGTCTTAAAAAGATAATAGTTTCTACAATTTTTATTGCCTACCTAGCATTGTGACCCTACAGTAGCCCAGGAATCATGCTATAAACAAATCTTACGCTACATAACATACATGTTTGTATAATTATGCTAATAAAAAGGCACGTCATGAAAATAAATAGTTTATTTATTTTCATGACGTGACTTCAGTGTCTCTGCTTTTCTTGCTACAGACATGGATTGGAAGCCCAGTTTTGGAGATCCATCAATGATAGTCACCTGGACCAACAAAGACGTGGAGGAGGTTCACAACAGACCCAATATCAGGGATACTACAAGTGGACCTGTTCCTTTTTATCATCTTGTCCTTGTTTTCTATACTCAGAATCAATGGACTTTGACTTACTCAGGAAAATCGTGTCCAAAGGCAACATACGAGGGTCGTTCAAAACTTTACGCTTAAGACGTCAAATAGTAATGAAATTTAGAAATAAAATTAGTAAAACTATAATTTTAATTATTTTCTCATAAAATCAATGCTGTTTGTATATTGCTGATGGTGATACACATAAATGATTGTTTAATTGTTTTTTTTTTTTTTTACACGTCGGCACTATAAATATGTTAAAATGTTTTTTTTTAAATCAATCACTATATATCAATATTTTTAAATACAGACACTATGGCGAAAAAGGAGGGCGAGATCAATTTTGAAGCCTTATATCCCAAAAATTCCTTTTATAGTCCTTTTTGAAATAGTTAGAGGCAAAAGGTAAGCTGAAAAAAATAAATAAAGAGCTTATAATTCCAGGGACTTACATATACTAATATACATGTATAGGTCCCTAAAAATTCATATATATATATATATATATATATATATATATATATATATATATATATATATATATATATATATATATATATATATATATATATATATATATATATACTCGGTTTGTGGATGACTTGTATTGAAACTAGAGAGGATTTGGTACCCATCGACAACACGTTTGAAGACTCAATAGAGTATAATCTGATTTGCTGGCGTCATGAAGGACACCCATTTAAAAAAAAGTAAATCCATACACATATACAAGTTTTAAAATTTCTTTTGAATGCACAAGTCAACATACTTGTAACAGACACCCATATACTAGTATCGAATTTGAATTAATACAGTAAAACTCGGTTATAAGGAACTCGGTTATAGCGAAATTTCGGTTATGAGGAAGAACTTTCAAATCCCCTGGGAGACTTTAAACTCAGTGTATGGATAATAAAGTATGTAAGTTTGTAATTGAGTTGATTTGGTATATTCGTAACTGGAACCAAGAACAGAAAAGGACTTACAGAGACACAATTTAAAGGAATTTTTATTACAACAAAAGTCATCGTATATCTTTCGAAGCCAAAACACTAATGATAAAGGTATATTAGAATACATAATTAACAACATTGAGCACCATTAAACGCTCAGGAAACATACAAGAGATAAATTATTGCACAAAGATCTTTATGGCACGATTTTGCTGATTGGTCAGATTGTTAACCGAGTTAACCACGTGTGATCCTGAATTTCCTCAGTCGTTATTCTGTTGACAGGATCCACCGACAACATTCTTCTGATGAGATCTTTGCAATCTACAGATAAATAAACATAAGATGAATACAACATTTGACTAATTTCAACGCAAATACTAATTACTATTTTACGACAAACGGAAAACAAACCCTCTGAGAGGAAACTCGGTAGGGTGCTGCCTTGTAGAATTTTAAAATATAGATTGGTGTAGTTGTCCTTGGAGTACATATGGAATGGATGGCTGCCTGTTACTAGGTAACATAAACATATTCCCCTGAAAGAAGCATCGGCATAATTTTATTGTAAGCACACAGAAGAATAGGATTGTACTTTTGATATACATGTAATTGTGTAAAATTAAACTAAGCTTTTGCATGTTGATAATTATGTATACAGTCAATGCTTGTTACATGTATCTCGATGGGACCGAGAAAAGACTTTGAGATACCGGAGGATTCAAAATATTGAGGTTAAAATACACCAAGAAACTTCCAACTTACTTCAGTATATACATGGTATTCGATATGCATGTACCAGTATTGGAATCCCTATTCAAGATATCGAAATTAAACTGTTGTGCATTTTCAATGATTATGTGCTGAGGAAACTTACAGACTCCAAACATCGGCTGCGACTGTGAAGTTATGTCTGATAAGTATTTCAGGAGCCAAGTAGGTGGGGGTACCACACACTTTTGGGTTGCCCAAGAAGCTTACATCTACACTCAGACCAAAATCTATGAAACAAAGTACACTATAAGATTAAGGAAGAATGACCATAGATGAAGGGAGATTACTTTTTTTAATATATAATTTCCTGATTTCTTCTGTAAAATTGTCATTTCCAACAATTACGGTTTGTCTTAACTTCCTTTTCATATATTAATATTTTGTTAGAAAATTGTTAAATTTATACAAAAGTTCTACATAAGTCAGCATACCCCGAGGATCTATATACAATTTTCCTTAAATATTTATTTATTCTTATTTATCATTGTTAAAATGATAAAAAAAAATATCTTAACGTCATATAAAAACCTGTTTATGTTACAGGAAACATACACACGTATTTTGTTTAGCACAATGAAAAAGACTTACCAACTATGACCACTTTGCCCCCACTCTGGAGGACCATATTGTCTAGCTTAATGTCGCGGTGTATGATGTCCTGTTTATGCATGTAATTAATGGCCGCAGTAATCTGACTGATGTATCGTCGCGTCTCGTTTTCACTCAGTCTTGTCCTAGAAAAATATTTTACTAACGATGAATATTAACTCATATCAATATGTGGTATACATGGTATTCCTCACAGCAATGTTCAAGTCAAGTTGAGGTTCTCTTTCTGTGAAACTTTAGAATTTTTACCAATGCGCTTCAAAGGGTCGAAAGATGTTAAAAATCATTACCAGAAGCATGAAATAAAAATTGTTCCTTAAGAAATTTGGATGTAAATCCAAATTACAAGTTATCGTTCTTTACTGAGGAGTGTACATCCTTAATAAAATCAAGAGAAATATGAATATGTACTAGAATTTACATTTACATGTATACCGCCATGTTTCCATGGAATTAGGGATTCCAAAGAGTACATGTACATCTATGTATATTGCAGATGAATGTAAAACTGTACACCATAAATAAACCCTACTTACATGTCATTAAGATACTGTTTAAGTGTATCCCCGTTTATATATGACAGTACTAAGTAAAAGTTTCTGTCCGTCTCCATCCATTCTTTCAGACGCACGATGTTCTGGTGGTCCAGACGTTTAAGGGCGTACAACTCTCGACTAAATCGCCGCTGTGATCTTTCTTTTTGAAGGATCGACTTCTTTGGAACCACCTTAATGGCAGCCTTTAAAATATAATTACAAATGTACTGTTTGAAAAGTGTGTTTATCTACTCATTTTGAAGTTTTTAGTCCCATCTGTACTAGTTCAGAATACAAATTGAAACATATATACTCACGTGTTCTCCGCTGAGAAGATGGGTTCCAAACCTCACGGTGGCAAAAGCCCCCTTCCCTAACACTCGTCCAATATTGTAGTTCCCGACCCTCTTTCGTTTGTCAGTCAATACAAAAGTTTCTTTGAATACTGTCTCGAATAAATCCATTGAAATGTTGATATTATTTCATCAGGAGATCGGAAATAGTGAAATCCCAGAGATTTAATGTTGATTCTTTGCCTCAAGCACAACTGTAGAGGTGTTTCATCGCCTCTCCTGTTCAAACCAAAATTTCAAATGTAATGAACTTCAGATATAATCCAACCCTGTAAAATTATGATTGGGGTTTAAATTTTCTTCATATCAATTAGTTTTAGGCTACTGAACAAATATTGAAACTTGGTGCTTTCATGCCCATCATTTGTTTGTCTGAGAAAACTCGGATTAGAACATAAAGGAGGAATGACTAAGTAAGACACGGGTTTGGTTAATGCTGGATTAATTCCAATGTTTCTTATACCCTTTGAAGTGTTTACATGGTCTATAAATAACAAGTCTCCATAATCTTTTTTGCACTTTACTTTTAATTGGTATTCCATTCATGCACTGCTCCGCGAGTTATTTAACAAATAAATGTTGCCAATACACGCAACCGTAAGAAACTGTTTAGATATATAGAACACAGTGTCCTGAATTTTATGAGAAAAAAATCGTTTAAGTTATGAAATCAAACAAAAAGAGTTGTCGCAAAATATTAAAATAAATTTACATTTAGTCATATCGAAAATAAGTTTACATGAAGGAAATTTTGCACAGAATATCTTGGGCTAAGAATAAAGGTACAATTAAAGAAATAAAATTTTGATGCATTCGCTCTTAACATTCCACTATTGTCTACCATATTTGTTACATCGTTTATAAAAGCTAGATAACACTCCAGGTTTACCTATACTTAACATGCCAATATATCAATTCTCAATCTTTGTCTTTAAACGCCAAATAAATATATCGTATGAATTTTAAATCAAGCCTATAAAAACTTCAAAGGTATCAAATGATTTAAGATAATGGACTGAGCCAAAAATGGATAAATTTAAGGACGCACACACCGAAAGTATATATATAGCATTAAATACAGCAAAAAATAATTAGATCTGAGAGCACATGAAAATTTACACTATATAAGTCGAGAAGTTTGCTTTCATCATAAGAAAGGTAAAAAAAAAAAAAAAAAAAAAAAAAAAAAAAAAAAAAAAAAAACAAAAAAAAACAAAAAAAAAAAAAACGGACACAACATTTTATACATTAGTATTTTTTAAAATTTCCCCTCCAATCACGTTCTGTCATCCTTTTCCGTAATCAGATCTGAGACAGTAGCCACATATCATGATGTCATACGATCTCATTATTGGGCTATAACCCCGGATTTATTGGCATGTAAGTATTACTAAACGAATACTTGCAACCGTACATAGAAGATTTATTAAGTAATGAAGAGCAGAGAATGATAACTAAAAACCTTTCATAATCACCTTAGCGAATTCAAGAATCCATATTTTATGTCAAAACATGTTAAATAATTATTTTATTTATGAATCGGCTATTCGTATAAATTGCTAAAAATCATGAGCAGGTCTGAATTATTAAGTTATTTTACATAGAAAACATTCAAATATATTCTGCGTAAAAGGCATCCATCTCTACTCCCAGTTATTTCTAAAGAAAATATCACAAATTTCTAATGTTAATTGATCAATACCGAGAAATTGTAGTAAATTAGTTTCAAATTATCACAAAATATATTCATTCAGTTTAAGAAAAAAAAACCTTACCTGTTATTTTCCAAGCTTCAAATCCATGTCTTCACCTGTTTACACTTTAAATGACTGCAATATGTATCCGAAATGAAATACTTCCCTGTATTAAAGCCTCAATCACCTATTGAGGAGGGCTTTTCCATTTATAGCACCAATATATCCAAAACTTTAATGCTTCAAGTATGTGTTTTTAAAAAGAACAGAAAACATTTAATGATCGGCGATTAACAGTCCCATATCAGGTCGCAAACAAATTGCTCACTTTATATGACTGTGTGTGTATTCGTATTGACACTCAAATAAAGAGCACCTTGTAAATCTCGAAGGAAATTAATCACATGTCGATTTTCTCAATCGTATCTGAACTACTGGATGTTTTAATCCTGATTATTTCTTCTGTTTGACCGAACATGCATTGACAGCTGAGCAACACACTTCATTTTAATAGAGAAAAATAAATCACTACAAGTAATCAGTTTTACACATCGCAACCACTCGGATCTAGAATCAGGATCTGGTCTTGATGCCTATTCTTGGTGTATTTTTAAAGCTTGATTGATATGCCACCCGAGATTTGATTAAAACTTAAACCGATAAAAAAATCCTGTGATCATAACGAGATCTGATTGTCATTTATTGATACTTGGTTCGTATGAGCAGGAATCGTACCGATGACGTCACAGATAAGGGGATATTGAAGGGTATCGCAAAGATATCTATGGAGATTAGCATGTGAACAAAGAATGTATCTATATTATAAAACAATACACAAACAATGAATACACATCCCTCAGTCACGACTAAACCCTGTCCGTGCAATACAAGTTTACAGAGTGCATTTTGGTGTACATTCTTCAGTCGAAGTATTAATAATTTCATTGATTGCACTATCGTTTCTATAGCCATCGAAAAAATTTCTCCAGAGGAGACAAGCCCTTTTGCATATTTTATCCTGCTCAACAAGGGATTCTGTCATAATCTGTGTGTCCGCCACATTTAGAAGGACATGGATAGATTTATTGACTGAATATACCTTTAACATTGATTCTCGAATTTTAAAAACATATATATGACAGAGATATACAGATATGCAATCGGCAGCAGTGAGATTGCAATTTCAATGCCATTTTTCAAATTCTCTCTCTAGACAGTATTTTATCATATATCTTTCTCCGCAGCAGCACTTTGTTACTTTCCCATCCAATACCAAACAAAAGCAAAGAGCTGCTAAATTCCTAGACCTTCCAAGACAACAATGTACTGCAATGGCACATAACAGTTTCTGCTAAACAACTGTATTGTTACAATAAGTCGAGAGTCAGACACTATCAAAAATTACAGTGTACCATGATCATCTAGAGTCGTCGGTAGATATAGTGGAACTGTAGAGCTAAGTCTCAGAAGTGTTCTACCACATAAAGCTGATAAAACAACAGAAAAGCTGATTCAGAAGCAACAGAGTTCGTTTGAAAAAGCAACTGGAAAATACAGAAAAATTGAAGCACCATAGCTACGAATGCCTCGAGTCCGATGACGAGGAAAGGCTCTAGTGAAACACACCGGCAAAATTGAGTAGTGGTGCATATATAAATTTGCTTTTTCTGAATAGCGATTAAAAATGTTCGGGAAGCAAAAAATGCATCGAAGAGAAAATATATCAGTCTTTTGCTGGAAAGTTTCTCAAACCAACATTTTAAGTTGTTTACCAACACCTTGAAGAAAATACGTCCTGAATGACTTTATGTGCCATGCAGTAATTGGTGAGTTTCTTAAGATTAGACGACACGTTCCTCAAACATCTAGTTTGTATCTCTTCGTAATATACAACAAATTAATAATTATTATCATTATCTTGTGATTTCTAATCTGTTTTCAGAATGTTTTTAAAATAAGTACAGGAATAATTACGATATTGAGTATTATTGACAATATTGGTGATTTCCTATAGGACTATACATGTATAAGAAAAACCATCTTCTGGTATCTTGCAAGAATGTCTGGTAAGGTACCCCAATTTTTTGTGAGGAAACTTGTTAAAGTAGCAATGCTTTACTAACAAATTCTTGGGAGAAATTATATATTATTGAAGACCGTGTCGTCTGACCTTAATCTCTGGAGAATCAACTAAGCTTAACAGTTATATACTCATAAAAACAATTCATTAACAACTTGTTTTTTGTAGAAATAGTGTATTTGCTTCCTAAGACATAATGCCCTCAATATTTCAAAATACAAATTCCAATGACAACATATATAGAACCGTTGCATAATACATTTTATCTAATTAGTGATATAAACGAAGGCTGGTATTTTAGTTCTACAAGAAAGTCTTCCTCACTGAACATAACTTGATTAATGTTGTCAAGAATTGTGCAACCGAATAATATAAGACGGTCCGAATACGGTCACTGTGTCGCCTTGAAGATATGGACGGCTTCGATTGTTCATTGTAACCATTAACATTTTCTATCAGAAATACGTATTTCGCAAGAATCAGCAATGTTATTCCAATGTAAGTTGCTCAGAACTTCCTAAATATATATTAAATACCGCCTTCTTTGAAGAACTTACGTAAATATTATATAGAGAGCGCTCGTAACAGAGTTGTACAATCTATCTTTAGGGCTCTCGCGTGTGAAATTTTCAATACTGTGTACTAGTGTGCAGTAACCACTAACAATGTAAAATCTACTAATAAAATAACGTAACTTAAGGAATGAATCTGTCAATGATATATTTGTATCATTGTTGTCATTAATGGACAAATTTGTGCTTCAATCGTATCCATAGATACAATAGTGGACTCTGCATCATTAGTGGTTAACAGGGTGGTCAACTAATAATAGAATATCATTAATTTACTGATGCAAATTCATCACAAATGATAAAATATATTATTAGTGAAATTTAATGCTCTTTATGATGTTTGTACGGAAAAACAATGAATTCTTTTTTTTCTGAAGAAAAATAATCACCATAAACTATTATCCGTTTTATTTGAGTCATATCAATAGCCAATCAATGAAAGGCTAGTTATTAGTCCCCTACCGGTGAAACCGGAGGGGACTATAGGTTTCCTCTGAGTCTGTCCGTCCGTCTGTCTGTCTGTCTGTCTGTCCCTCTGTCAGTCTGTCCCACTTGGTTTTCCGCACTTTTTTCCTAAACGCTTGCAGATATTGAGCTGATTTTTGGTATGTGAGTGTATCTTGATGAGTTACAGATCAAGTTTGCATTTCGTTCCGCTTCATTGATTTTTGACGGAATTACGGCCTTTTCAATTTTTTCGGGTTTTCCGCAATTTTCTTCTAAAAGCTTGTAGATATTGAGCTGATTTTTGGTATGTGGCTTTACCTTGATTAGTTACAGATCAAGTTTGCATTTCGTCCCGCTCCATTAATTTTTGACGGAATTATGGCATTTTCAATTCTTAACGGGAACGGAACCAGATTACACTTGCCGGTAGGGGACTAGTATTGCTAATGCAATACTCTCAGAATGCTTGTTTCAATTGGATATTGGATATTTCTATAACACGTAAGTAGTATCATAGTGTGTAAGGTTGTTCCTGCAGTATTTCCAAGCTGCGTTCGGGTGGAGTAGAGTACGAGGAAGCTTTCAGTTTCCAGTATGGGTCGTTCTTGATCTGGTACTCATATTCCACTTAAGGTTCTCTATATTAAATGTTTTCGCACCATCATTTCTACGATTTCCAAGGCAACAAGAAATCCTTTTAACAGCATCTGCTGCAGACTGCTGGGGTTTTGACTTTTTTCACTTTTAAGTTTTTGTTGACAAACAGCAATGTTTGCAGCAGCAACATCATTGCTTGGATCCAATTCTAAAACTTTCATAAACGCATCACAAGCCTTGTCGTAATCTGCACAGTTCATATAGCAGTATCCGAGTAACTGAAAGTCAATTCCAACTTGAGTAAAGGAACAGTGCTCTTCAAACTTCTTCATGATATCCAAAAATGGCAGATTCAAGTTTGTGTAACATTTTATCAGATAATAATACGCCAAAGTCAAAGAGGATATGTGAAGCATATTTGTATGAGAAAACTCCCTTTGTAACATTTGGTCAAGAGTAACATTTTCATTTGTATTGTAACAGTTACTGAGGTTGTGAGATTCCTGTTCAAAATGGATAAACTGCTCCAAAAGTAATGCCGCTTCTCTCCATTTTTGTACATAACACAGGTAATTTGCAAAATCAACGGTTGTTGGGAAATGCACACCTTCGGATGCAAGAACCTCTTTGAAAAGTTCTTCGGCTCTGACCAGTTGTTCGTCTGAAGGGTAGCTCACTAACCGAGATCCGACAAAATACATGCACGCTAAGTTTCCTTTCAGTTTTACAACATCTGGATACTGGTTTTGGAGTTGTAAGAGAGATTCAAAATATTTCTGGGTAAGTTCAGTATCACCTAAATTCAATCCAATGAGATTAAACAGGTCAATGATATGAATAGCTGGCAAGTGTGATCTTAAGAAATAATCAAAGAAGGCTTGATGATATTGAAAAAGACTACAGTTTTCTTTCAGTCTGATCAAAGCAATATCGCATTGTGTTTTCATGAAAGGACCAGTCAAAGACGCTACTACATTTCTAGTTTCGGTGTAAGAAGGAATGTCTTCTAACACGGACGCTATTACGGACCTAAAGGTCACTCTTGTGGTCAAGCATCCATTCCGTTCAAATACTAAAATGTGGTTGTCATTAAACCTTAACACAGGTGGTAATATGTTTTTTCTCATCATTTTCAGTAAAATCATAGATGTATTAATGTCTTCCTCGGTGAAAAGATCAAGAAGGTTGTTTTCTGGAATAAAATAGTTGGGCAAGACACCCTGTTGTAAGCAAACAGCAACGGAGTCAAGCAAATACATAAGGCAGGACCCTGGGTTTTCATCCCAAGCACTGACAGGGAGTTTTTCGCAGCAATAAAGAAAGACATTCTTTAGACAGTAGGAGGATAAAAACTTCTGAGAAGTTTCCTCCTGAATTTGGTGTCTTAAAAGCTTGGAAAAAATAAAACACTGTCTTTGTGCATTGGTGACTGCAAATTCTGCGATCATCTGCTCAACTTCAGCAAATGAAATCCGCCATTCTACGTCTGGGGTTTTGCTCAATTTGTGAGGCACTGGAACAGCATAGCAACCTTTGGAAACGATCGATTCAATGAGTTCACTACTAATCCATTCACTGGTGCGTTGCCGTCTTCTCCACTCGTCCGCAACATTTGGCCAATCATCACAGTGAAATCCATGTATATGGTCGTATGGGTTGATCATTTTCTGATGACGTCTGTCATATGTAAAAGGCTTTGTATCTTGGTATTGTAGAGCAGGTCCATGTAATTCATACATTTCCCTTTCAGCTTCTGAATCCATCGGAATCTGATTTAGAAACTCTTTTTGGTACTTCGTTCCACTCATGAAGTAAGTGTTTGTTTCTGCATCATGCAACACAGCAAAATGATCCATTTTTGGTTTCTTTATAAGTTGAAGCCTACAGTATCCTGGATGAACATTTTCTGTATCCAGATACATCATATATTTTTCATCGGCCATCATTGTTTTGTCGCTACAAACCAAGATTTTTTCTTTTGTTAAAATAACATCAACATCTGATAGAAACTCGATACTCCCTTTCGTGGCAAGCACAGCGTCCGGAATGTTGTAGCCTTCTGCTTTGCTTCCTATGGGGATTACTTTTAGATCATCAAGTTGAATTGCATTCATTCCATTAAAGACTTTGTCTATTTGATCTCGAATTCTTTCTTTTCCGACATATCGTCTTGGGATAAGAATTTCCATAATATAAGACAGATGGAGGGTCGGAAAACCAGAAATTGCATCAATGTCGATAGGAACATATTCCGGAAGGAAATCCATGACCTGTTCAATTACTGAAATGAAAATGGTACTATAATTATATGATTACACTTACTAATGGCTAGAAAACTAAATATTAAAAAAAAAAAAAAAAAATAGAAAATGATTTATAGGACATGAATGCTCCGCCTTATAGTACATTTGTATTACAACATAAAAAAGAAATTTTCCTTATTTCTTTCAAATCACCAGTAGTAAAATATGAAGAAAGAAAAACAAAAGATAGCTGTAAGCTTAACAGGAAAAAATGCAAGATAAAAATCAAACAGAAGGTTGAATAAAAAAAAAAGAAAAGAAACCTTTGATGTGCTATCATCAGTATGTATCAGTGCATGAAAAGTGCACGATAAAAATCTTTTGAAAACTTTCTCCGAAACTGTATTAAGTGCTAAGTTGCACAAGATTAAAAATAAGCTTTTCCTTCCAAGATGAAAAATGTTAAAACCGTTGATTAATTCTCAACATTTTTTGTCAAAGCATGAAATTTGATAAAAATATCTTGAACAGAATCTGAATTAACCGTGCTCAACGAAAACTGGGGAAAGCTTAGGTCATGATCAAGCAGAATGATATCTCTAACATCTGAAATTATGTGACAGTTTGATGAAAATATCTTGAACAATGTCTTAAAATAAGCTCAGCACAAAACGTAGAAAAGTGAGGAGAAAGTCAAACAAAACATCAAATATCTTCGTGTCACACTCATCAGAAGGACAGCAACTGTACATTTGATTTATTTAATCACGACTGAGGCATACATGCCTAAATTAAACGACCATAATCCACATGAACCGCGTCATTTATTTTTGTTGACGAGAGACTGAGAGATTTCGATCGAGTTTTAGAGGAAAATATGTAAAATCTATGAATAGGTTAAAATTAAGCTTAACGCAGATTTTGAGGTAAGAATGATAGAAAGAAGAAAGGACGGAAAAAGGACATGTCAAACACTAAACCCAAGTCATACGCAGTTGACATGTAATGAAAAGTGGGGAAAACCCCTATACAAGAGCTACTTACAAGATAGCATGAAATATCCAAAATCTCTATCAGATAGACTTTACACAAGAGCTTCGCGTTGTCAAAAGTCAGATATCAGTGACCCACATCTGAGGTACTAACAGGAGCTCTAGTTACATTATAAACATACATATTGACACCGTTTTATTGAAACAAATTTTAATTCTTTGCGGTAAGTGAACCTAAAGGAAATGTGGCGTAGTGAAATACTTACAAAAATATCCTCCACTGAGTTACTGTACAACGGAAAACCCACAAAGATGTTTACTTGCATATTAAACATGTACACGTGTAACAGCTTGCTGCTTATAACAATCCATCATTTCTATTCCGAATTACAATAAACTTCCGTTTTAGTGCAGAAAGAAAAATGTAAGTTTGCTGAATACGTTTTACATATATAGGTCCACAAACATGCATCTTGATACCTGCCTTAGATAAGACCTACTGACCATACCGAGTATATGTCAACAGATAAACCGAATAAGTTTGTGGCCATTTCTGACTTCCGGATCTTACTCATCCGCTCCGTGACATGAATATTAATGACATGATTGTATATGTCAGGTAAATTGAACCAAAACAAATACTAGCATTATGAACATAAATTTTTTTGGTTTTGCTTACGCTTATTATGATATTCACTTCACACCAATTTAGAGATATTTTACATGAAGCAAAATGCCCCGCAGTTGGTTTTTAACCATTCAATTTCTCTTCTATTTATTAATTTGTAGTCTGTTCTTTGTTCTTATCAGTATATTTAAATTTCTATGACGTAAAAATGAGCAAATATCACAAAGAAATTATATTTCAAGGATTCTGAATTTCAGAAAGTTCATTCCGATTTTTTGAAATAAATGTCCGTAGGAATCTGAATTATGCACCATTTAAAAATAACTACTTTAAAAGTTAATTGAAAGGAAATGCTGTTTAATAACATATATGTATCGAAATGAAAAGTTCAATTATGACTATTCAATAAGCTTCCAAGGACTTGCTTCCTTAATTATTTTCCCCATTTTTTATAAATAAGAAACAACATTAAGTACTGATGTTAACAGCAAAACATAATAAACTTATATATCTGGTAGTCTATTTTTTTTTTTTTTTTTTTATACTTTTGGGAGAGACATACAAAAGCAGTAACATTTAAAACTGCGACATTAAGTTATATGACCTCAAGACCTACAGCAACCATAAGGCCTTTATAGTTAAAACAAGATGGACCAAATACAGTCAGTTTCAATTAGTCTGATATCTGTCACACCAATAAATCGGTCAGTTCTGATTGACTTTCAGTAAAGGAGCCATGCAACAGAACACCGGGGGCTCAGGCAGGAATAGCAATACATTTATAGAAGTCTGTGTAGGATTGTCAAAATGTTAGCAACAGATTTCACAAAATCTACATCACCGGAAGGAAGCTCACAAAAAGATTCATATTCATGTAAATTACCTGCAAGACGAGTTTGTAATGTTAGGTTGCACTTAAATTAAGTGCAGACTGTGCAGAATACAATGTATATGAAAAAGTATACAGATACTGCGAGGGATTAAAGCAAGGAATTATGCAAGAGAAATTAATACCTCGGACTGAAAAAAAAATTAAATACAATACATTCAAGTACACTTAGCAATTTTCGCATACAGAATTCATAGAAAAAGCTGTTTATATCAATATTATATTGTGGACAGAAGATAACATGTTATCTGTTATAGATGAAAACGGTATCTTTGTTAAAGATAAATATGAGTAATGTTTGCAATTTCGCAAAGGTGAATCGTCCATTGCACGAATAATCATGGCCTCTATGTAAGTGTGTTTTAATCACAATTTTTCTAAATTAAACAAAAACAAATGACATGAAGGACAAAAGATAAGAAAAGAAATAAAGATTCTTGATACTATAGTTTTAACTCGTTCCTTTTTTTCAGAAATAATTTGACGCAAGATCTCGTGTATATGGGATTGTGTAGTCATGTCGGGATATCAAAACAGTTAGCCATGAGAAGGGATATTATAGATATGAGAGAACTGATAGAAAATCAGGCTAAAAAACATGACCTAAGGAAAACGCAGATAATTTTGTACACAAGTGGAAGTCACAGGGAAGGGTTTAGACTACAGGGATCTGACAGGGACTTTATGTATTGGCTAAGTGACCACACTGTCATCTGGGGGCTTGATCAAGCTAAGAATTATTCTCCAATCCATCGGACTCTAATTCTTGCAGAGCCAGCTGACTGCCCACCAGGATTTTCTCTGCTCAAAATGGTCACACCATCAAACTGGGATCAAGTTGCATGTTCCTTTGTCAAAATCAAAGATGATATTTTTATTTCAAGTTCTATTTTTCGAGATGTCTTCTGCTCAGCAGTGATGCCTAATTCTTCTGTCCATGGACCATGTGGAAGTGGGAACTTTGGACCAATTGAGTATGACTATGCTCACTGTTTTTCCTGTGATTTTTGGCCACATTCTGCCTCATCATGGATCTCGAGATGTTCAAAATGGTCGCCTCCCGAAATTGTTCATGAAATTATTCGGAAAGGATGCCATTTTGTGCCTATAGGACATAAACATTCAAGATATGAAGAATTGCGATGGAGAATTTCTTTCTCTCTGGCAGAGCAAAAGCTTGTGTACACAATGAATCACTGTCAGTTTCTGACTTACGGCTTGTTGAAGCTGTTCCTCAAAGAAGTTATAAACAATAATGAAGAAGGAAAATTGTTGTGCTCTTATCACATGAAAACAGCCATTTTCTGGGTTATTCAGCAAGGTACAATTGTCTTGTGGAGTGCACAGAATCTTCTACACTGTTTTTGGACCTGCTTCAAAATCATTCTAAAATGGGTTTACTTCGGGGTATGTCCAAGTTTCTTCATCCCTGAAAACAATTTGTTCACCAGTATCCATGGCTCTGCACAGAAAATTCTGTCCAGAAAATTGTATGGACTTTTTGAAAAAGGAGTTGTTTCTGAGGTCGATTTTGATATTTTATTATTCAAAGAAATTTTTGAAATAGCAACATTGGGAAAATGTGACTTAAGCAAGTGTCTGAGGTACCTTTCCTCTGTGGAAGATGTCGTATCATCACATTTATCTGAGTATCACCTTCTCTGTCTAGAAAACATATTGGCTCTCTCATTTCAGAATATATCTTTCTTACTCCACAACAAGTACAAAAACAGTGGCAATAAGACTTGTTTATCATCGACAGAATTTCTCTCTACATGGTAAAACTGGCATCAAGGATAGGATTTGTGTCTAACACTTTGTTCACAGCCATGTACTGCTACAAAACATTTAGATATAAAGAAGCCTTGGCTCTTCTGGAAAAAAATGAAGGTCAGGTTATCATTCCCATACTTAATGTATTGCTTCTACGTGAATGACATAAGGTACATCCATGCTCTCAGTGACCATACTCTGACAATGAAGATGAGAGAGGCTGTTACCTGGAATGTCAGACTGTATAATTCTGTCACTTATATTGAAAAACTAACACAAGAGCAAGAGGCAAGCAGACAGGAAAATGTAACAACACTCAACATCCCACCTTTTGTAATGTTGTTATTTCTGAAGTTTCTCTGTGTCTTGCAAACTGGGGCAGAGAATTCCCATGAAGTTTTAAGTGAACTCCATACTCTTCTTGAGAGTGATAACTCAATCCATGTACCTCTTGTTCTTAAAGACATATCCTGGCAAATATTAGGGATTTGTCATGAGACCTCAGGAAATCTCCAGACAGCTCTGAACTGTTACACAAAAGCAATCAAGCAACGACCTCTGAATAAAATTCAACAAGCTTCTCTTAGCAGAGCACAAAATGTGGCTGCTCAGTTTATTGGAAACTATGACATTTTCAGATAAGACTAATATAATTAAAATCAAAGTGGTTCGTAATCTGTAAAGAAAGTTATTTTTTAAGTTGTAATACTAGTACTTAAAAAAGAAACTGTCTTTATTTGCATTCATTGTATATAAATGACCTTTCAGAAACCATGTTTGGGATTTATGGCACAAATCATGTGCTATGTTCATTTCTTTGCTGAAAAAGTAAGCTTTGTAAGCTGTCTGATGATCTCTCTCTCTCTCTCTCTCTCTCTCTCTCTCTCTCTCTCTCTCTCTCTTCAAAATGTTTTTAAGTTCACCTAATGTGTGCCTGGACATATATACTGAGTAAAATTATCAAACAGTCACTTTCTTTTTTGACTTTTTGGTTCTGCAAATAGGCAATGCATGATTATGTTTTCCCAGAAGACCTACCATCAATGGATTTTGCTCATATATTTTCTGCATGCGTATCTGGGGATGAGAAAGCACTTCAAATTTTGTAACATAACATATGCCGAAGTACAAATTAATAATGTACATCTTATCAAAACTGGGTTATAAAATTATCATTGGTACAGTAAAAAATATCCTTGATCATGACTCCACATGCAGACTGTATGTTACCTTGGAATGACATGACAGCGTATGTAAATGTATTCATTCCCATATCAGGATATAGTTGTACAATGGAGGTTGAGTGTTTTCATTTACACAAATTCCTTTTGCATTGAAAATTGGAGTAATGTTTTGATTCAGATGGGTCATTTATTAATTTCTCCACCAAAAAAACAAAAACAAAAAACAAAAACAAAAAACATTTTATACTCTAAGCAAAAACGAGGAGTAAATTTAACATTAATGTTATCATTACCATCTTTTTTGTTCAAAACAATGCATTAAAGTTTTGTAAAAGAAAATAACAAGATAATTAATTGATGAAAAGCATCCAATCACCTTCTATAATTTTCCACTTGCTGATACTGGATCTATGTTACGTGATGATGATTATGATGATGATGATGATGATGATGCAGTCGCGGTCACGGCAATGGACACAAAAAATGATAAGTCTCTAAAATTATTGCAGTGTCGTCCGCTTCTGTGGCATAATCAAAAGTCAAGGTCACAGAGCTAGATGAGACCTTTAAGAACGTGTCACGATAGGATGTAGCATGATCAAGAATACTCACTGCTACGTCTAAGAACTATGCATGGGACAAGATTGGTGGCATTTCACTTAAAGCACTGTTGAGGTCAATTTGGGGTAAAACTTGCAAGGTTTATAGTTGAAATTGATGTCGCTGGACACCAGATCCGGACAAGGCCTGTAAGGTTGATACATTTTGAGATGCAGAATACAAATCATTCTCTACACTGCATTCTCTACATGC